TACGAGGTTACGGATCCTGCCTTAGGACAGTTTCCATGTGATAGTCTATTACTGGCTGGCGATTGTATTGTCAATGAAAGCATGCTCACTGGTAAGGTCTACAAATCTCACAAGTGACAAATTCTGACTTCTTCTAGGCGAGTCCGTTCCGGTTTCTAAAGTTCCTGCTACCGATGAATCTTTGCGGCTTCTCAACCTATCTGCTTCATCCGTAGCACCGGATCTCGCGAAACATTTTTTGTTCTGTGGGACTAAGATCATCAGGGCACGTCGTCCTCATGATGATAACGATGGTGAGGCAGTTGGTCTCGCTATGGCTGTCCGGACCGGCTTCAATACCACAAAAGGGGCATTGGTTCGGTCCATGCTCTTCCCAAAACCTTCAGGATTCAAGTTTTACAGAGATTCCTTCCGGTACATATCTGTCATGGGCGGTATTGCAATGCTAGGATTTGTTGCATCGTTCATAAACTTTGTCCACTTGAATCTGGCGTGGCACCTGATTGTTGTCAGAGCTCTGGATCTGATAACGATTGTAGTTCCACCAGCTTTGCCTGCTACACTTACTATTGGAACGAATTTCGCCCTAGGGCGCCTTAGAAAGAAGCAGATATTCTGTATCAGTCCTCAAAGAGTGAATGTCGGTGGAAAGCTCGACATCGTATGTTTCGACAAAACTGGAACATTGACTGAGGATGGTCTAGATGTGCTTGGTATTAGAGCTGTACACCAGCCCGCAAATAGATTCAGTGATATTCTCACTGATGCAACATCCTTGTTACCCGGGGCGGCTTACGAACGTGACCCGACAGTTGATTACAACATCCATAAAGCCATACTCTACACAATGGCAACATGCCATTCACTTCGAGTCGTTGACGACGAACTTATGGGCGACCCACTGGATTTGAAAATGTTTGACTTTACTGGCTGGTCTTTTGAGGAAGGCCAGCACAATTCCGGCGATACCGATGATGAGGATTCGGGAGGATTGTCACCTTCAATTGCACGACCCCCGGCAGGCATGGAATACGATCTGGATGATCAAGACAACGCCACTAACTCTCCTATTGAACTTGGCGTTCTCAAATCCTTCGAATTTGTCTCCCAACTTCGCCGAGCTAGTGTAATCGCCCGGAACTTTGGGTCCCAAGGGTGTGACATCTATGTAAAGGGTGCCCCTGAATGTATGAAAGATATTTGTAAAGCGGAAAGCTTTCCCAGTGATTTCGAGGATCTTCTTGCGTATTATACCCATAGAGGCTTTCGTGTCATTGCTTGTGCTACGAAACATATCAAGAAGCTTAACTGGGTGAAGATGCAGAAGATGAGCCGCGAAGACACCGAATCGGAACTAAACTTCATTGGGTTCATTATTTTTGAGAACAAACTCAAGCCGAGCACAGCTGGTGTGTTGGACGAACTGACTGAAGCTGGTATTAGGAAGGTTATGTGCACGGGCGACAATATCTTGACAGCCATAAGTGTCGCCCGAGAATGCAATCTCATCGACAAGACCGCTCATTGTTTTGTACCCCATTTCGCAGAAGGGAACTCGCTAGATCCCAAAGCTCGATTGTCATGGGAGAGCATTGACAATGGTATTTATAAACTCGACGATCAAACTTTAACTCCGCTTCCTCCGCCAGTGGAGGGCGATGCGTCTTTGCCTTACGATATATCTAATCTAAGGAATTATTCTTTAGCCGTGAGCGGAGATGTCTTTCGCTGGGTTGTTGATTTTGCGCCTCCAGTTGTTCTACAAAGAATGTTAGTCTGTGGTCAAGTATTTGCGCGGATGTCGCCCGACGAGAAGCATGAGCTAGTGGAGAAACTACAAAGTATCGATTACTGCTGCGGATTTTGTGGCGATGGCGCGAACGATTGTGGAGCTTTGAAGGCCGCAGATGTCGGCATCTCGTTGTCTGAAGCAGAAGCCTCCGTCGCTGCGCCATTCACCAGCCGAGTGTTCGACATTACCTGCGTTCCTGAAGTTATACGTGAGGGCAGAGCAGCTCTAGTGACCAGCTTCAGCTGTTTCAAATACATGAGTCTGTACTCGGCCATTCAATTCACATCTGTGAGCTTCTTGTACGCATCTGCATCAAACCTCGGGGACTTTCAATTTCTCTTTATTGATCTAATACTAATTTTACCTATCGCTATCTTCATGGGATGGACTGGACCTTTCCCTACTCTATGCCAGAAACGACCTACAGCCAATCTTGTATCAAGGAAGGTCTTGACGCCACTCTTAGGTCAAATTGCCATTTGCATCCTCATTCAGGCCATTGCATTTCAAGCAGTGCGACAACAGCCTTGGTTCATTCCTCCCCACCTTAACAAGGATGAATCTAACATTGAAAGCTCCGAAAATACTACGCTATTTTTGGTATCTTGCTTCGAATACATTCTTTCTGGAATCGTCCTCAGTGTGGGAAAGCCTTTCCGTCAGTCCATGGCACATAATCGTAAGTGTTTGCACCTCTTTCTCCTTTCTTCTTGATGACTAATTATTCCTTAGTGCCTTTTGTCGTCACGATTGTCGTAGCATTACTATTCTCATTGTATATGCTCTTTGATCCTTCACAATGGTTGGCGAATTTCATGCAACTAACCGAAATGAGTTGGGACTTCGAGGTTTTTATCCTGTTTCTAGGAATTGGATATATCTCGCTGGCATGGACATCTGAAAATTATCTGCTACCGAAACTTGGAAAATATCTGGGTATTTTGAAGACGTCAATCAGCCGGAAGCCTAAGCAGAGGAAGACATACAAGTTGGTATTGGAGGAGATGCGCTTGAGTTCCATGCAATAATGGTTGCGGCCAATAAACGAACACGCAATAAACAATGTAGATGTAATTATATTTGTACACAAGCTGGAAAATAGACGGTTTACAAGAATCTTAAGATAGCCTGGCATGAGACCCAGATTCCTGTTGAATCTACTTGAATTAGTTTGAATCTATTTCGATAATTCTTTTCAACCAAACTATTAAGCGATGCTCGATCGTTGAAAACTTAATCGTGTATACATAGGGAGGGCGAAAAGTTAACTTACTGGAAAAGCACTAGCATGAAAGCTAACGGGAGCTACGGGTACCGGAGTACATTTTAGATGATGATATTAACTGGGGACTCTTCCGCGCACCTACCCGTGCACCTACCCGCGCTTTGAACATTCCGAAACGCAGAATACCCGAACTCTCAGAAACAATCTGTATTTTAGTTCCCTTAATCCCCAGAAATATTCACGGGAACTATCTTCTAGTTCTTCGACCTTTGACATCTTTGTACTGCTAATCATGAATTATGGTAAACCCAATCTACGTCATCTTACTTCAGATCCTGTATGACAGTGGCAACTAACATTTTATAGACTGGATCCTCGATGGAGGATATCTCCCAAATGCTGTAATCCGGCTCGGCATTCGTCGCCAATTGCGTGAGCGAATTGAGTTGATTAAGAGTACTTCATTAGAGGAGGCCTACGAGCGTAAAATGAACTATGTAGAGCTTCTTCGAAGTCGTCCTATCGCTATAGAGACGGCTGCTGCCAATGAACAACATTATGAAGTTGGAACCGGTGTTCTTGCTGCTTGTTTGGGGCCGAGAATGAAGTATAGTTGTTGTTTGTATCCTAAGGGAAGTGAAACATTAGGTCAGGCGGAAGTGGAAATGCTGGGAACTTATGTGAAGAAGGCTGGATTAAAAGATGGGATGAGCATCTTGGATCTTGGGTGAGTGTTTCTGAGCTCTAGACACGAGGTCTGAAAATGGGGATGGTATGAACTAATGCAATTCAGGTGTGGTTGGGGTTCAGGAGCATTGTACTTTGCGGAAGTTCTCCCAAATTCTAAGATCACAGCGTTCTCGAACTCAAGAACTCAGAAGCTCTACATTGATGAGAAAGCCAAGGAGAAAGGGCTCAAGAATTTGACAGTCATCACTGGTAATGTCGTCGATTATGAGTTTGAAAAAGAAAGTTTCGACCGAGTTGTATCCATTGAGGTAAGTCACATGCAAGAATCCGTTCGAGGCAATGGCTAATCAGGCGAAGCTCTTTGAGCATATGAAGAACTATGAACTACTAATGTCAAAGGTTGGAAGAGCCCTGAAGCCAGGGGGGAAACTATTTGTTCATATTTTTGCTCACAAGACTACACCTTACGATTTTGAGGAGGGATGGATGAGCACACACTTTTTCGTAAGTAGAATCAATTCTCTAGACTCGGCATTCAATCTTGGAATCTGGGAGTGTGATGCAATCTCGCTGCCTCGCCTCTAATTTCTGATGCAACTTTTGAGCTCTGATTATGCTTCCGAAAAATTCCTCCAAAGGCAGTTACTGACTCATGGATGTTGTAGTCTGGAGGTACCATGCCCTCAGCGGATTTGTTGTTATTCTTCCAGAAGGACCTCAAACTTGAGAGGCAATGGTGGGTGAATGGCCAGCATTACGCAAAGACTTGCGAAGTGAGTCCATCATTCAGTTTAACCATTAGTCTTCCATACTGATAACAACTGTAGGATTGGCTATCGAAGATGGTAGCTAGCAAGCAGGAGATTTGGCCTCACCTAACAGAGACATATGGCGAGAAGGATACCGCAATGTGGTACTACCGCTGGCAGATCTTTTACCTAGCAGTAAGTTATTTTCTTCTGTTTCTTCAAATATACTTTGTTAACTCAATCACAGTGCGCCGAATTGTTTGCTTATGAAGGTGGAGATACATGGGGTGTATCCCACTATTTGTTTGAGAAACCCAGCTCTGCCTAATAACATAGACACTGTAGAACCGATAGACTACGTATAATTGACTTAATCTTAACTCCAATGCCCAATGAAATATTTCCTTCCATATGTACAGTTCTTGGCCCACTATCCGTGTTGTGATTCTAGAGTCTGCTTTGGACGGTATCTCTTGATTGTCTGGGTCCTGGCAGCACATGGATACATCCTGACTACCGCCGTACCGCCTTCTCATTCTGACGTTCAATGATCCCAAGGATGCTTCCAGCCTAAGAATACAGGACCTAAATCGTGTCAGTTTCTGTATTGTTTTGACTATATTCAAAGAGTGGCCGTACCGTCTTTCTTCGCGCGATACATCAACTGTATACGGATTAGCATGGCAACAGTGAGAAGGCTACATTAAAGTACATACGAAGAACCACATGCTTGCTCCCAATGCTGTACCAGCGAATCTGTATATAGGTGGAGCTCTGTAGAGTCCTCCGGGTCCTGGAGGTGGTTGTGCCATAATGCTACTGAGCGTTTAGTACCAGATGCAAATTTAGCAGAGAACAAATTCCATGCAGTCAATAGCAGGCGTGCGGACAACTTACGATAGTCGTTGCCTTGTGTTGTAGTCAGAAGTGAGGGTTCAATATGCAGATTGAGTCCCAGTCGTTCATACACAACTTTGAAATCCGGCCCGGGAGCTAAATGAGATGTAATAGCCCGATATATAAGGCCATAACACAGAAAGCTGGGTACTCGCCCGATAACCTTGAACCTTTGTATTTAATTCACTTTTTCTATTGTGTACTGTACTATAAATTTTCTTCACCAAAACTAATCTCTTTCCTACTGTCTTTCCGCTTCCTATTGTACTGAGGAAAGGCAACGATGCTGTTAAGATCAATTTCAACCTCGCAACACGAGCCCTGAAATCGAAGCTTTAGTTTTAACTATCTACCCTCTCATCGAACACCATTCGAGACAGACGTCATTTCTTTACGAAGGAAACTCTCGAAATCCACAACTGCGAGATTGCATACTCGATAATCTACGCGCACACAACAAGGTTCCCTGCTTCCATCTTACTTTCCTGCCAGAATGGCGACCCCATCACGACCAGCGCCGCATGCTACCAATGGCATCCACACTCCAGAACATGCGCGCCAGCATACTCGGGCGCAAAGTTCATTTCGCGGCTGCTCCAGAATTTCGGATTATGAGGTCATGGGGAAAATCGGAGAGGGTACATTCGGAGAAGTACACAAAGCCAAATCAAAAAAAACTGGCATGGTTGTTGCTCTGAAAAAGATCCTGATGATCAACGAGAAGGATGGATTTCCAATCACAGCTCTTCGCGAAATCAAAACCCTTAAACTCCTTTCGCACGAGAATGTCTTGAGTCTAGAGGAGATGGCCGTCGAGCACCCGCAGAAGAATACCGATAAGAAGAAGAAGGCCATTATGTACATGGTCACTCCCTACTTCGACCACGACTTATCAGGCCTCTTGAAGAACCCAAATATTCATTTCACGGAACCACAAATTAAGTGTTATATGCTGCAGCTACTCAAGGGGATGGAATTCATTCACAACAACAACATTCTTCACCGAGATATCAAAGCTGCAAACATATTGATCAACAATAAAGGTATACTTCAAATTGCCGATTTTGGTCTGGCGCGACACTATAATGAGCCTGTGCCAGTCGCAGGAAAGGGGAATGGAGAAGCAAAAGCGCATTATACTGTGGTGGTGGTTACAAGATGGTACCGTCCCCCGGAACTTTTTTTGGAACTGCAAAATTATACTCCAGCGATTGATATTTGGGGAGTCGGGTATGTTCAACATCTTGATTTTGAGAATTTAACTAATGATCCCCAGTTGTGTCTTTGGCGAAATGTTCCTCGGAAAACCAATTCTTCAAGGCGAGAGCGAGGAGCAGCAGCTTAAACTCATTTTCGATTTGTGTGGCACTCCTAACGAGGAAAACATGCCTGGATGGAGACTGTTACCCAAAGCTCAGGGACTCAACTTCAGCCCACCACGCCCTTCGACGTTAGCACAGAAATTTCGAGAACAAGGCTCAGGAGCTATTTCTTTATTACAGGAATTGCTTAAACTCGATTGGAAGAAGCGCACCAACGCGATCGATGCATTAAAACATCCATACTTCAAGAACTCTCCTTTACCGCTAGACCCGCACGACATACCAATTTTGGAATCATCACATGAATTCGATTCAAAGCAGCATCGGGGCCAAAAACAGGCCCCACCACCTCCTAAGGGAGGCGATGTAGGCATGGGACCGGATCAGTGGGACCGAAATGGAAGCGGGCAAGGATATGATAACTACTCCAGTAATCGAAGTCACCAAAACGGTCGCTACCCTCCCCCTCCTCCCACACATGGTGGCTACAGAAATAGTGGCCCACCGCATCAGCAATACGATGACCGCAAACCAGCTTGGAGAAGAGACGATCGAGGTTTACCACCACGACCACCACCGCCCACTGATTTCGCTTACGATGGTGGAAGATCAGATTCACATGGTCACCGGTCCAGATCTCAAGATATAGATGGCCGTGGTCATCGTGATCGTGATCACGCGTCTCTTCCTCGCAGTAGAGCTGGAGGCGGTGGTGGGAATATCGATACGTATATCCCAAGTTATAACACGAACAGACGACCAAGAGATGACCGTCCGCCCCGAGATGATCGTCCGCTGCCACGAGATGACCGTCGAGACGATCGTCCACGACATAGTAATGGAACTAGACACGACTACGATAATCGAGGTTCCCGAGAACCTCGCGATAGTCGTAGTCGTAGTCCCAATCATGATCGTGGGCGAGATCGATACAGGGACCGAGAGCCGATAGGAGATCCTTATGCGCATCGTCGTTAATGTCACTTCGGTTTTTCTCGATACGTAGTTACATTATTATTCTGTTCTTTTAGCGTTGAGGTTATAGTTGCGAGGGTGGAGATAAATCTATCTTCTTGATATTACGTTGCGAGATCATGGGAAGTGACTCGCACTTAGGGATTGGCGTGGGTAGCTTTTGGCTTTGGCTTTGGCTGTATCAATTTGGCGTTTCTCACTTGAGTGTAATTTTGAAAGCATCAATGGAAGGAGGAGGGTATTTTCATATTCAGAGTATCAATGAAGGAATCAAAAGGAAGAAAAGTAAAGTGGTCGGCTGGTAACAGATTGCTCGACAATTTTATCGAGCAATTCAAATGTATGAAGTTCCTAGGCTCCTATCTTCGGGGACGGAGGGATATCGGCGTGTAATTTTATATGGGAGGTTGCTGTTACGGGAGCTGCCTCTAGGGTCATGTGGAAGTGTCTAGAGATCTCTTGAAGTGGTTTAGATTAGATTTCAAGTAGGAATTCAATAAGGTTGTAATTATTATAATTCTTGTAATTATAGTAATGAAATTAATAATTGTTTTTTTGAATATAAAGCTTTATATTATAATGAAATTCTATTCCTTATATAGATCTTTATTCTTTGATATTGATTTGGAGTTTTTTGGAGTTCTGATTCTTAAGGATCTCCTTGAAGCTTTGGCTCCTAAGAACTCCACTATGTGACACTGGTCATATGGCATTCTGTTACTTATTGTAATACTATCCCCTTCTTAAACTAGTACTTGTTCCGAGTATCTTATAATGCTCCATTTCCCCACCTGGCCGATAAATCAAAATGATCTTGGGCTCTTTCATTATACCTATCATCACTATTTCCTTTAATCATTCAACTGTTCGAAAACATAAGGAACAAATCCTTCTTACTCAGACTATTGAATTTAATAATATCGAAATGATTTTGTATTTGTATGTTATTTGGATAATTATCGATATATTAAGAATTTGTCTCGTTCCAATTACTCTTATTGTTCTGAATATGTATGTGTATATTCTTCTTGTAATATTGAGTTTCTTTTATTTGAGGATTAAAATTAAAAAGTTCCTTAAGAAAGTAATTGATATGCCTTAAATCATTAAGAAAAATACCTTTGTTTGAAGGAGGAAAAGGCTATGGTAAAGATTCTTTGCCTTAGGAAACAACAAAAGTTGTTATACAAATGATATCAGCATATAGCTGACTGTAGCCTTAAATATTTGAATAAACTTAATACTTTAAAGGAAAAGGAAAAACTAAAGAAAGAATATGTTAAAAAAGAAAAGGAAATGATATCTACTTTTATCGCTAGTTTTAATAATAATTCCTTTACTTTCAACTCTTCTTTAAATCCTTCTGTTACGACGGCATCCAACATACCGCGTCACATGACATAAATTACACGTGATGGAGCGTCAAGGAGCTTCAGCGCTCCTGGAGCGCGTTGCGATCCTTAACGATCCAACATATAGGAGAGGTCCTAGGGACCAGGAGAGAGAACGAAGGTCTATATAAGGGAATGGGTTTCATTACAATGTAGAGCTTCGTGCTCAAGAACAATCATTAGTTTCATTACTATAGTTACGAGAATTGCAACCAGTTACCAACCTTATTGAATTCCTACTTGAAGTCTAGTCTAAACCACCTCGAGAGAACTCTAGACACTTCCACGTGACCCTAGAGGCAGCTCCCGTAACACCTTCAATCCTTATTTCAATAAAATCTCCTTCTTTTTGAGTAAATTCAAGTATCTCTAATGAAATGCCTTTAACTTTTCAGAGTAATTAAGGTTTTCTTTTGATTTTTATGAATTTTCGATATATAAGTAATCTAATCATTTGATTAAGTATTTGACTATGCCTCTAACATATTTATAATTTAGTATTGTTTTGATATTATATATAACGTTTGGGTTGACTAATTCGATTTTCATTAATGACACCTTTGGCGTTTTTAATGGTACTGGTTTAAGTAAGGATATATAGAATATTAAGTGGATATTCATTATATCTAGTAATTTCAATCAATAATTAATTGTTTCTATTACTTTATTAATCTTGAATAATCCTAGTTTTTTATGATCAAGTTTATTGCTTAGTCTTTTAGTTTCAATATTTCGTTATAGTAAATAAACTTTATTTCTCTTTTTAAATATAAGTTTTATATTATATTTCATATTATAATATATTATTGTTCTAAAAGATATGAATTTTAGATTAAGAGCAAACTGTTCTTGTAAATCCTTTAATTATTCGACTTATATTATTACTGATTCGGCATTAACTTCCTGTGGTATTAGTATTTGGTATGCTTTAGGATTAAACCTAGAGTTAGTATATGTTGATGTAATCTTTATGGTTTTCGTTTCTGATATATTATATACAAATTATACCATAAATAATAACTCTATTCAATTATTCTATTAATAATTTATATAGTATTTAAGATATACTTCTATTATCTGATTGGTCCTTTCTATCTGATTATCGGTTTATAGGTGAAAGGTTGTTGATAGCTTTCTTTTAATATTCATTAGTACTAATAAGGTAGTCCAGAATTTCGAGATAAAAAGCTTGTCTTTGTTTGAGATTATCTCATCTGGTACTTTATATATATTTACTATAATCCTAAAGAATATATATACTAATTATTCAACAATTCATATTTCTTTGAATAATATTATGTATATAAATTTTATCAATCTATCTACTATATTGAATATTATATTATATTCAATTCCTATAATAAAGTTTTTCGAGAGTAATAATTTAACTACAAAGTCCTATGTAATAAACTTCTATAATTGAGAAGGCATGTTTAGGATCTGAAGTTAGTCATACAGAACATATCTAGAGGACTTATTCCATATATAAATATTATAATTTCCAACAACTTCTTCAATTATTGTTCTTATTTATAAAAAGTAATTAATTTCCTATAATCTTATAAATATTTTTACAATCCCTTAATATTTATGTACTAGCAATTCATATTATTCCATTACAAATTCCTTAGTCATTCAACTAGAAATATATACTTTTCCATAAAAGTATATAATCTCATTTTCTATTATGAATTCTGATTCTATTACCTTATATATACATATAACTATGGCATCTTTATTATAATATAATTGGATTTTGATTCTAAGATAATTATCTTTTAATATATATATAGCTACAAACTGTAATATATTGTAAACTAATGATTCGCCTTCTTTCTTAAATATAGCATACAATTCGTACAACTTATTTTCTTGATATTCTGATTTTCGACTAAGAATATCGACTCTAGCGTTTTCTAATCCTTTAATATATGAAATTTTAAAATTATAATTGACTATAATTTCTAACTATTTAACCTATCATTTATTTAACTATTTCATTATAATAAAATAAATCAAGTTTTTATAATTTGTATATATTTATACTAAATACTTTAATCCTTTTAAATAAACTTGTCATTTTTTAAATGTATCAACTATTACTAGTAATTCTTTATCATATATTTCATAATTCAATTCGACTAGTAATAGTTTTCAAGAATAAAATGTAATTAATTACTATTTCTCATTTTATCCTGATTAGCTCAAAACTACTTTTATAGCAAAATCTGAGGAGTCTGTCTTTATAATGATTTGCTTTTCAAAATCGAATATCAATAGTATTAGCTCCTCGGCTACTACTTATTTGAGCGTTTCAAAGGACTCTTATACCTTAATAATCCATTCGAAGCTTTCTTAATCTTTTCTGATTAATATAATCAAAGATATAATAATTCCTGAATAATCCTTAATAAATCTTCAATAGAAGTTAATAAATTTCAAAAATAATTGTATTTCCTTAATTATAATTAGCTACTTTCATTCAAACATTGTTTTAATCTTATCTTTACTTATCTTAAGCCCTTAACTTGATATAATGAATTCTAAGAAATTTGTTTCTGTAATATAAAATTTGTATTTACTTGGTTTACATAGCAAATCTACTTTGATTAAGTTTTTAAGAATATTATTAACATTTTTAATATATTGATTCTTATTATTTAAATATATTAGGATATTATCCAAATAGTATATATAATAAGTATTTAAGTATAATAATAATATATTGTTTATAAGTCTTATAAAAGTAGTTGGTACATTAATTAGCCTAAATGATATAACTTAATACTTATATAGCCTATATCTTATCTTAAAAGTAGTTTTCTATTCCTTACCTTTCTTTATTCTAATTAAGTAGTACTCATTTCGTAGGTCCATCTTAATAAATATTATTGTTCTGTCTAATCAATCTTTTAATTCTATAATTAATAAAAGTAAATATTGATCTTTCTTTATAAATATATTAAGCTTTTTATAATCCATAATTAATTTCTTAATATTATCTTTCTTAGGTATTCACATAGTTGAACTTACTATTTAGGATATAAATTCCCTAATTTATTCCTTGGTCAAATTATTATTAATATATTCCCTAAGTGTTTTTAACTTATTAACTAATATTGAATAAATTAGGGTGTATATAAACATTTTGTTTTCCTTTAATATTATTTTATAATTTTATAATTTATATTCTAATAAAGCTTTATAAATTCCTAGTTCTTTAAACATATATTTATATTTTTTATACTATTTTAGTATTATAAGCTTTTTTATCTTGATTATAATTTCTTGTTATATTATTGACTTTTATATTTGTAAAGAAGATATACTAACCTTTATTCTTAATAAAGAATCCTAAATTAGATATCCTATGTTATTAATATTATTTGTATTTAACTCTCTTTAGCATATATTATATCTTACAAATACCTTAAACATATCATCATAATCGTTCTTACATTAATCAAATATTACTGTTTTTTATAATCAATTTATTCTAGGGTTATATACCTTCAACTATAGCATCTTTAAGATAATCTATTATTAGCCCAATAATATAACGTTAAACTATATAACCTTTAAGTATTGAGTTATATTCATTTATATTAATTA